TTAGCTTAAGGGTAGACCCAAAGGGTCATTGCTCTGCAATAAGTGCGGTTAGTGAGTTGGTTAGTACCGAAATACTTCTATGCTGATCTCTGATTCATGGATTTAGGCTTGAAGAGCCATTTCTTTGAAATAAAATATATGACATCGCTCCACTGAGGCTCATTATTGCTTTGCAATGGCTTTACTCTATAACATCATGTGATTTCGAAGTTACGATGTGGTTATAATTATTTTTAGATTGAATTTGCTGTATTCACTTAATTTATATATTTATACACATTAATTATATTATCATATTATAACAATCATGACAAGTAATACTAATAATACTGATCCAAGTGAAAATTTTCCTCAATTATACAAGGTGCTTTTATATAAGAAAAAAAATATAATAGCTATTCAGAAAAAACTTGGTATTAACAATAATATAAATCAAATGGCAGTGTCGGAGAGTAAGAAAGCAAAAGAACTTGCCGATTCATATGAATTGCTGTTAGAATTGGTGAGGGATTTAATACCTATACAGATAAAACTTGGTATAGATATCAATCCCATTTTAGAAGCAGAACTTAGAAGGAATAAAGCCTCTTCAGATAAACCAATTAGATTATTTGATTTGCTTTTATGCTTAAAAGACGATATAGCGACAATTCAGAAAGAACTTGGTATTGTCGGTTATACTAATCAAGAAATGGCAGAAGAAGCTGATAAAAATGCGAGAGTATACCTCTGAAAGTTTGAACAATTTCATAGTCCCTTAGAAGATGTTCCAAGTGTGTTAATACAGAAATTCATCGATAGTGGGGTAAAGAAATTTTGGTTTACTGGTGAGGGACTACCATTATTTCTGAATATCTCTCTTCAACAATTGCATGAGATTTTTGTCAAAAAATCGGCTAGTGACAATCAGTGCCCATGTCTAGAATCAAAAGTAAAACAAGGAAAATTATCACAGATATATATACATCACAACAAATAAAAATTCTTTGTTTGAAATTAGCTGGAAGCTGTCAAATATCCGATTACCCGCTCTATTCTATAGCTAAAATAACACGCTTTCTGCAATATTATTTAATGATATATATTATACCCGAAAAAATAACTCGGTAAATAATTACCCATTCTCCACTACTAAATAAAATTATTTGTAATCCACGATGTGCATTTCCGGATATTCTAGCATTGACGAGAATGAAATATATACACAAGTTTTCGAAGCAAAGAAGCGTGATTAGTTAATATTATCATAGAGTCGGAATAGTCTCGCTTCTTCAGGTAGTTAATTTTTTTTTCCGATAATTGACAATAACGTAATTTTGTGCTGGTGAGGTGTTATTGTCAGGATTGTGACGTAAGGCTTCTCTAGCGATTGTCATAGCATGAGCTAAATTCTTTGCCCCATGTACCACCACAGCATATATAGCCCCTATTTTACATAAATGGTGAAAAATTAAATAATAGTCTTTTAAGAATCTAGTGAACCATTTTGCTTCTGGCTTACCTGGGTTGCCTATTCAACGAGAAGAAATAGCATTCTGAATCCAGGTAAGCAATTCCTTAGCTCATTCTTGATTCTTCTCTATAGATCTTAATTTTTGAGGAGTATCTATCTGACTTCGGTTCTTTGTATAGCCTATCACTCCAGCATCTGTAATGCATAAAGATGTAAGTTCAGCGGGTGTATACAAAGCATTATCATAACATCTGCGAGAGCTTGTAAATCAGGCAGGGTAGAAATATTATACTTATCTAATCTTTCCTTAACTGATTCTAATGTAAAGTGGTCTGGATAATCAATTTTCTCAATTGCTTTGACAAATTTACATCGATCTCTCTAAATTTCATTGGCATCTTTTGTAATATCAGGAAATTTCGTAGCTTCGATTATTTGGAATGGAGTGCCAAGATTTTTTAGTTCTCTACGAAGACAAGTGAGACATGATGAGCCAGCATTAGCATTTTTTGCTGATAGGGCTAAGGCATAAGCTTCAGCTCTTACATCTCTAATGCTAAGTTTATCCTGTAAAAGCCAACGCGCCATCTCTCTGATTGTTTCTTCCTCCATTTTTTTGGGGGTTTGTTGAAAATCACAATATTTAAGGTTTTACCAGAAGTACTTTCACATTGTCTATTTGTCTGGATTGTGAATAAGGTATTTACTTGATCCTCACTAAACCCATATCTATTTTGCAAGATTTGTTTTGCTTTTTCTCTGATAATCTCTTCTTCTAGATTTTTTGGGGGTGATGCTAGAACTATTCTACAATTACCTTCGACAATATTTATAGTTTTATTTTTCCCACTCCTCTGATTAGGTATCAATACACCTATCTGCTCATTGCTAAATTTAAAACCATCCTGAAGGCGTCTGCGAGCCTAATTCTGTTTCTTATCATCGGTAAGGTTTTCAAGAAATTCTAAGGTATATTGACTGAGATCAGATATACCCATATTAGAGCTAAGATTGTATTTTTCAATAATTTTAGTTGTAATGGCTAATATGATTGAATGTTATAATAGGTTGGGTAGATTATGAGCAGTTCTTTAGGTTATATACACTATAAAAAATATTTTTTA